GCGTGTACAGGCTCGACCCCGGCTGACGGGTAAACGTGGCCAAGTGTCGGCCCGTCCGAGCACACGTACAGTGGGTCACCCGCTGACTCGCAGGAGTGAACTGGTCAACCCCCCCATCCTGTAGATCAGCACCACTCACCAAGTTCGTAGAGAACGAGGGGAGGTAGAGACCAGACAGGGTGCCAGAGGGGGCCGCCGTACACGGTAAGACAGTGGAGAAGTGGGCAAGGACAGGACCCCCAGAGGGTTCCGCCAGGGAGACCGCAACTGGCCGACTAAGCGGCGTAAGCGTGGTGCGGTCTCGAAAGAAGGAGCGGGACGCACCCGAGTCAAGGGTGGAGGTGTGTAAGGCCTGAGCCGACGTGGTACCTGAGAGAGCAGACGCACCAGTACCTGGGGCAGCAGACTCACCAGCACCTGGAGCAGCAGACTCACTAGCACCTAGAGCAGCAGCCTCACCAGCACCTAGAGCAGCAGTCTCAATGCCCGGGTCAGGCGGAACACACAGGTAACAGTCACCCTCATCACTAGTAGGCAATGTATACATGGCAGTGAGAATAGCATCATAGTCAAGAGTATAGATATCTACCCTCAGCCTAAGCAGCTCCACCCAGTCGGGGAGCTCAGCCGCGTCGCCAAACTCCGTACGCCAGGCGTCGCTCAGACGGGCGAAGCAGCGGGACTCTGCGTGACCAAACGTCCCGCAAGGCTGACCAGTCCGAGCACCAGTACGAATGACGTACGGACAGCGAGCAGTACCCCGTGACCCGTCACGCTGAGCGTACCACTCACGAAGCTGCTGGGGCGTGAGTGACTCATGCGGACGTCGCTGGAGCTGCATCTGGCCACCGCCAGGAGCAGCAGGAGCAGTGGTAGCCGCAGTAGCAGCAGCAGTAGCAATAGCAGTAGTCGCAGCGCGGCCACCCCTACAACCCCAACTAGCGTACCACTCACGAAGCTGTTGGCGGGCGAGGGACTCACGCGGCAGGCGCTGGAGCTGCATCTGGCCACGCCAGGAGCAGCAGTAGCAGTAGAAAGAGCAGTAGCAGCAAGAGCAGCAGTAACAGCAGTACGGGCAGGGCAGTGCTCACCAGTGGCGAGAAGGGCAGGCGTACGACGGCGGCAATGGCGAGGCCGCTACCACAGTAGGGCGAGGGCTCCGCGGCAGCTGCAGGGGTGGCTGCTCCAAGGGCGGCTGCTGCAGGGGCGGCTGCTGCTCCAGGGGCGGCTGCTCCAGGGGCGGCTGCTGCAGTGGCGGCTGCTCCAGGGGCGGCTACTTCAGGGGCGGCTGCTCCAGGGGCGCCTGCTGCAGGGGTGGCTGCTCCAGGGGCGGCTGCTGCAGTGGCGGCTGCTCCAGGGCGCGGGTTAGGGCAGGGCGCCGCGGCGGGCAGGGGTGACGCCACGCGGGTCCCGCAGGGGCGTCGCGACGCGCAGGAGCCGCGCCTCGCGGGTCCCGCAGGGGCGTCGCGACGAGGCGGGGGCGACGCGGCGGGGCCGCGACTGGCGACGGGGCGGGGCCGCGACTGGCGACGGGGCGGGGCCGCGACTGGCGACGGGGCGGGGCCGCGACTGGCGACAGGGCGGGGCCGCTACGGGCAACGGGGCGGGGCCGCCAAGGGGCCGCGAAGGGAGCCGCGAAGGGGCCGTGAAGGGGCCGCGAAGGGGCCGCGAAGGGGCCGCGAAGGGGCCGCGAAGGGGCCGCGAGGGGGTCGCGAAGGTGCCGCGAAGGGGCCGTGAAGGGGCCGCGAAGGGGCCGTGAAGGGGGCCTGAAGGGGCCGCAAGGGCCGTGAGAGGGGCCGTGAGAGGCCGTGAGAGGGGCCGCTACGGGGCCGTAAGGGAGCGCGACGGGCCACTAAGGGCAGGGGACGCGACGGGAGGGTAGGCACACGGGGCGCGACTCGGGCAGGGGCGAAGCGCGCTCCGGGCAGGAAAAAAATCGATATTCTGTGGGCCCTAGGAAACGTTCCAACTAGGGAACCTGCTCTATACCATGTGAAAGAACGAGGAATGTGTGCACTAGGAAACAGGTGGGTACAAGTAGGAAAACCTAAAAGTGTTGTACCCCATATTGTCTACCCCACTACAGCCTACACAGACTATAGCATATAAGTTTGACACATCTGTGGTATCAAATCGGAATGTTTGGTTGACCGAAATCGCTCGTCTCTTCCCTGCACTAAAACGTGTGGATAAATATGATTTGGTAAAAGTAAACGGGTGAAAATTAGCGCACTCAAAGTTTGCGCGAAACAAAGAGCGCAGGCGTTACACAGAGCGAGACTTTTTCCCCGGTGACAAAGGGCGCGTTACTACTCTGATCTTCGATTTTCGACCCTGAACAATTAGAGTTATATAACTTTCAACCCTGAGCAATCAGGGTAGCATCATTCTGAAAAATGTGCACTCATAATAGAGGGGAATTTTTTTCCTTGGAATCAGGGAGGCATAATATGAAATGTCAGCCCTGCCCCGGGGTAGCTTGTGCAGGGTGGGTGTTTGTGGTGATACCCCCCCTTTTGCGGTGATTTTCAATAACATTCCCCTTTTCATGAAGATTTCTTATTATATTAACGGATAACGTAACGAGTATGTGCAAGTACAAGAGGACGCGAAAATGTCAGAATGTGAAAGCGAGAATGGTGAACTAACAGTAGGCAGGAGTACAAGTAGCAAACCCTAATTGGGTTGTACCCCACATGGGCTACCCCATTACAACCTGCATAACATGCAACATGTGAGTTTGACACACCCCCATAGGCAAAGTGGGGGAGAACAAGAGGTCACAAGACCAGTCAAGAAAAGCGAAGCAAGCTCAGGGTGGATCACGAAGTCACCACACACTTTGAGCACAAGCAAATGGCCACAAGGCCAGTTTACATGCAGAGTAATATAATAGAGAACAAGCAGTACAGTGATCAAAACCTAGCAAGTGTAAGCATGCAGGTATAAGTATATAGATCACAGTGCAAGCAAAGTCAAGAAGTGAGCAAGTGAGGCAAAGTAGGCACAAGGCCTAAAACAGTACAGAAACGCTGATAATCACAAGGCTGAAGTGCCTTGGTGAAGATATCAGCAGTGTTGGCCCGAGAGGCCACGTAAGCAAGACGAAGCTGACCACACAGCTGCAACTCTCGAGCAAGGAAGTAACGCAGAGCGATGTGCTTCTTCCTGTGCTCCTGTCACAAGGCAATCATGGCCATGTTGTCGACGTACTGAACTGGAGGAGAACGAGAAGGCTCTCCCAAGTCGGTCAGCAGGTAGGTGAGCCAGCGTAACTCCTGTAAAGCCATGGCCCCTGCGTAGATCTCAGCCTCACAACTGGAGCTGAGAACAGAAGACGAGTAGGTAGACCGCCAAGAAACAGAGCCGGAGCCAACGCTGAAAGTGTAACCCTGGATACGAGCCACTCGGCTCTAAGGACTCGTCCGAAGGTGGAGCTGAGAGCGAGTGGCCGGTAGGCAGAGGAGTGGACTGTGGCGAGGAGTACTGAAAATCGAAGCGCTGAAGGACCTGTTGCACCATGTGTGACTGAGTCAAGGTAATGGTGCGTCATGTTCTTCACTAGGGCCAGTTTCTCAGTGTCAGCAGTGGCAAAGACCAAGTCGTCGACGTACACGAGGATGTAGAACGGCGGCAGAGAGGTGTCGGTGCGTAGAAACAGCGACGGGCCAGCAGTCGAAGGAGCAAACCCAAGAGCCGCAAGCGTCGTCCTCAGTGTGTTGTGCCACTCGTGAGGCGCCTGGCGAAGACCGTAGACTGGCCGCCGGATGCTCCACTGGGTACCTGCAGGAAACGACCCAGTAAAGCCAGGTGGGCGGCGCAGCCAGATCTCCTCGTGCAGGCTGCCCTGTAGGAAAGCTGTGCTGAAGTCAAGAAAGTGAAGCTCATAGTCACACTGAGCAGCGACGTGCAGCAGTACCCAAAGAGTGGTCATCTTTGGGGTAGGAGAGAAGGTCTGGAAGAAGTCAACTCTCTGTCGCTGACTGAAGCCTCGTGCAACGTAACGAGCCTTGAAGGCAGGCGGAGAACCCGGCAGCCACTTCACCCTGAAAATCCACATGCCATCGACTATGTTCGCCCCAGGAGGGGGAACTGTGTCGACGTAAGTGCCTGTGGACTTCCAGGATGCCATCTCTGCGTCCATGGCTGTCTGCCACTGAGAGGAGTAGGGACCCGTAATCGCCTCTGCGTAAGAGTGCGGGGTCGGGATGTCTGGTGCATCCGGGTCTCCCTCAGGTGCAATCAGCATGGACACGAGATGAGGTACAGCAGTTGCAAAACACTCAAAGTCCTCCTGCCTGTCCTCATGGATGTCCGTGCCAAGAGCACACTCACCCCCGACGGACGGAGGACAGACAGACTCAGGCTCAGCAACAAGACTAGCGGCGTAGTTGAGACGACAGTGTCACAGAATCTATTGGTAAGTGCAATAAATTCGTTACATGCTAGTTTGGTGTAGACGGAATGATGTGGAGCACTGTAGTAGGATTATTGAAAGTACTGTAGAAGGGGGGGGTGGGTTCGTGGGAATAGCGCGAAGTTGGTGACTGAGGGACATTCGGGTCGCTAAGAGGAAGGTTCAAGGGACATTGGGCGAAGGATAATGTGGAGGACCAATCAGGAGTTTGCGACTGGAGTTCAAGGTAGCACTTAGGAAATTGTGCGACAGGGCGTCGGAAGTGCAAATAGCCTAGGAACAGCTAGCGTCACTTGTTCTCTCGTTTGTTTGCTCGTTATAGTGGATTAAGGTTACCGTTTGACAGCTAACTCCTGCTTAGGTAACTAGGCCACTGTGGGCAGCCATCCGTGGGGGAGGCAGAATCTCTCACAAACGACAGAACAGATCGGCAGTATGGACTGCCATGAGCTGCGGTGGCAGCGTACGTACTCGCGGCGGGAGATACCGCCGTCGCGAAGGATGCGCTCGAAGGAGCGCGGATCGGGCGGATTGGATGGCGACCAGTGATGGACTGCACGGTGAAGGCGAGCTCGGTCTACAGATGAGATCGGCGCCAGGACCCCAGCCGTTGAAGAGCGATCACTGGGATCTGGCAAGAGGCCAGCGGGGCGCGGGAGTAAGGCGTCAGGAGGATGCAGATGAGACGGAGTCGCTGATGTCAGCAAACGAGGCCGACAGCGAGGAGTCGGCGGAGGATTATCCAAAGGACGCGGGAGCAGATCACTCGCCGGGCAGCATGCACAAGGCAGGTGAGAGGCGTCACGGAGAAAAACGTGAAGAGCGAGGGAAGGCGACGGGATCGGATCGCTCGGCAGACGAAGTGCGTGGGCGTGGCAAGAGGCGACGCGGGGGCGCGGATGCAGATCGCGTGCCAGAGGAGGTGCGCGGGAGTGGCGCCATGCGCCAGGGGAGCTGCGCGGATGCATATCGCGCACTAGAGGAGGTGCGCTGGGGTGGCGCGGGGCGCCAAGGGAACCGCGCGGATGCAGATCGCGCGCCAGAGGAGGTGCGCGGGAGTGGCGCGAGGCGCCAGGGGAGCCGCGCGGATGCAGATCGCGCGCCAGAGGAGGTGCGCTGGAGTGGCGCGGGGCGCCAGGGGAACCGCGCGGATGCAGATCGCGCGCCAGAGGAGGTGCGCGGGAGTGGCGCGTGGCGCCAGGGGAGCCGCGCGGATGCAGATCGCGCGCTAGTGGAGATGCGCGGAGGTGACATGAGGCGCCAGGGGAAGATCGCAGATGCAGATCGCGCACCTGAGGAGATGCGCGGAAGTGGCATGAGGCGTCGCGGGAACATGGCGGCAGATCACGCGGTAGCTGGGCGTCGAGAAGATGAGGGTCGATGTCATGAACCCGCAGAAGCGTATCGCTCGCCCGAGCCAAGGCAAGGCCATGAGAGGAGGAGGCGCATGGCGATGGGCAGATGGCGATCGTCGGAGAGGCAGGAAGAGGAAGCAGAAGAAGATTATGAGGAAAGGCGCGAGCTGCGCTCGCCAGCACGGGGGCGGAGTCACCAGGGGGAGGCGCGGGTCAGGAGTGGTGACCGTTCGTCGCCAGGCACCTCGGGAGTAGATGCAAGAGTGAGCCGGGAAGGAAGGGAAGTGCACCCACGAGGAAGGGCAGAGGCTGCGAAGGATTTGGGCGGAGAGGCAAGGAGGCGACAAGAGAGAGAGGAACGAATCAGGAAGGGCGAGGGAGAATGCTATCGCCGTGAGCTATCACCTGGCGAGGAGGCTGGAAGAGAGGACCATAGCCGCCAAGAAGGGGAGAGCGGGAGAGGCGTCGCAGGGAATATTCGCCTAAAAAGGAAGACGGGCAGAGGGGAGGTTCAGAAAGGCGAAGGGAGGCGTATGAGAATGAACGGGGAAGGAGCCCGAGTCCGATGTGGCATAGGAGGCCGCAGCAGTCATGGGAGGGCTCTAGGGAAGCGAGGGCGGCCAGAGAGGGCATCAACTGCATCCTGTATGGGACAGGAGAGAGGGGCAGGGAGACAAGGAAAGCAGCTGAAGAGATGAAAGGGAGAAAGAGAGGGGAAGAAACGAGGGGGAGAGGTGAGGGACAGCGCAAAGTAAGGGAGAAGTTGAGGGGAGGAGAGAGTGAAGGTGGAAAAGAGTGGTTCAGACAAGAGCACCAGCGAAGTGGTGAGGGGAAGCATCACCGACAGGGATTCCGCCCTGATGAAAAGGAAAGGTTCAGGGAGGGGCAGGAAAAGCAGAATACAGTACGGGAAAGGATGAGGAGAAGCCCGAGTCCAGATAGGCACGATGGCCATGGGGGGCGGGGGGAAGCTTAGCAGGAGCAAGAGCGGCCAGAGAAAATATGGAGCAGGTGCTGTATGATGCAAGGGAGAGGAGCAAGGGATCGGAAGCGTGGGGCAGAAGGAACAGTCAGACGGGCAGAGGGGTGTCGGTGACATGGGAGACGGGGAGGTGGAGCGCCATGGAGCTGCCAAAGGTGGAGGTACCTGTCAGATTCACAGGGAACGCGGGGACAGGGACGGGACTTAAGAATTATCTCATGCAGATAGGCAACGTGAAGTATCGGTGCGATCGGAGCGGGAAGGATCCAATTGAGTTCTTTCTAAGCTTATCCAATACCTTGGGAGGAGATGCAGAGACGCTGTACCGGATGAAGATGACGGAATGGCTGAGACGGGCGGAGGAGGATGACGAGGACCCGACCTCGTTGTTCCTGGAGCGACTAAGGAAGCAATTCCCTGGGCACATGGCTGACAGGATAAGAGAGTTTCAAGAGTTTAGGCGAGGGGAGTGAGTCACTGCTAACGTACTTCGGAAGGTTGGTTAACTTGGCAGAAGACGTGGTATGCACAGACAGCAGCATGCTAATTAGTAAGTTCTTGGGCTGAGTGGTGGGTTGCGTATGCGAGTGTACGAGATGGGCACAGACGCTACACTAGAGGAGGTGTTTGAGCTAGCTAAGAGGGTGGAGCTGGCGCAGAGGCGGTATGAGTCGTACCTGCCGAAGGTGTCATAGAAGAGACAGCCCACGTGGGCTACGGCGATGATACCTGAGCACGGGGACAGGGAGGAGCAGTGGCAGGAGAAGCGACCAGAGACACGTACGTGCCACAGGTGCGGGCAGGTAGGGCATATCCAGAGAGACTGCAAGAATTGTGATGTATGCGGTAGGCCCGGACACCGTCGAAAAGACTGTCCGAACGCACCGACCTGTGAGGAATGTGGAAAAAGGGGGCTCAAGGCAGGGAATGCTACCAGGGAGCAGGTGGACCAAAGAGGTCACCCGGGGAAGTTGAGGACGAGATCGGAAGGTTAAAAGCCCAACTCCAGGCACTGGGAGGAAGGACAGAGAGGAAGGAAGGGGAGGAGGAGGAAGAGGAGCAGAAGCCTGAGCAGTCGTTTGCGGTGCTACGTGGCCATGAAGACATGAGGCTGTGCAGTGGGGGCAGAGAGGGACGAAGGGAGCAGGTGCGTAGGGTGGGGGCATGGACGTGTATGTTAGTAACACCAGCAGCAGCGGTAGCGGAGGAACGGGACGAGCAGGTGGGGGCAGAACCGTGTGTACCAGCAGCAGCGGTAGCGAAGGAACATGACGAGCAGGTGGGGGCAGAACCGAGTGCACCAGCAGCAGCGGAAGCACAAGGGAAGAATGAGAAGGTGAGGGATTGGTCGGGTGTACGAGTGGTAATGGAAGCGGAAGGGAAGGAAGGGAAGGTGGGGGCACAAGAGGGCATGCCAGCAATAGCGGAAAGCAAGGCAGAGAAGGTGGGGGCACAGGCGTGCGCACCAGATGTAGCAGAAGCGGAAGGGAGGGACGAGAAGTTGAGAGCACAGGCGTGCGTACCAGCAGCATCGGAAGCGGAAGGGAAGAACGAGAAGGTGGGGGTACGGGAAAGTGCTCCAATGACAGCGAGATCGGAGGGGAAGGAAGGGAAGGTGGGGACACAGGCACGGGCATGTGTAGCAGCAGCAGCATAAGCAAAAGGGAGGGTCGAGAAGGCGAGGGTCAGGGAGGGTGGACCAGCCGAAATGGTGAGCAACTGGTGGCAAAGGGAGCTACGGGTCGCAGGGTGGGAAGGGCCTGAATGGGACAAGGCCCAGGAGCTGAAGGAAGAAGAGAGGGAGGGTGAGGAACTAGGGGCAGGTGCGAGCATGCCAGGGGAGGAAGAAGCAGAACGTATGATGGGAGATGTGTGAGGCAGGATGGAAAAAAGGCCATGGCGACAGTGAGGTGGATTAAGAGAGAAACATGGGAAGATGAGCCGATGCCGCTAGCAACCCAGATGCGGACAGAACCAGTGGGAATGGACGAGGCTGAGAACTGGGTGACATGGGAGGGAGTCAATGCAGCAGGAAACCTGCAGGAAGAGATACAGGCAGCGGTAGAGGACCTGCATACAGTGCAATTGGGGAAGGCGTGCAGCTATGAGCAGCGGCAGCAGCAGGGCGGCAGAAGGACAAAGGAAGTTGTAGGGATAGGACGGGAAGAGAAGAGCAAAGAAGGATACACAAGAGGTGAAACAGGGAAGAGTGGAAGGAAGGGCGCAAGCAGTGGGAGGGGTGGGAGTGTTGGTGCTGGAGAAGGAGAAGGGAGAGCAGACCGTGAACCACCAGACCCACAAGGCAGGGGTGACGAGCAGCTGTCCTCAGCTTGGAGTCCTGTGACTCGCGCCCGAGCAGCTAGGGCACGGACACAGGAGGGGGCAGGTGGTGGCTGAGAACAATGGACAGGATCAAGAACAGGAAAAGGGCGAGAATGAGGGTAAGGAAGGGAAGAGAACAGGGACAAAGAGGAAGGAAGTAGAAGGTATACGGGTTGCCGACAACAGGCAGCAGCAAAGTCAACAAGCTTAGCAACTAGGGCACACGCAGCAGTGGACTCAAACGAAGGGTCAGTGACAACAGTGGCCAGAAGACGCGTGACATTAGGACTAGCATCATGAAGGAGGTCAGACTCAGGGTCCGGTCCGTCAGCAAGAGAGGACGCAAGAGGAGACGGCAGAGTGACACGCTGTAGAACAGAGGAAGGACGAAGTGCCATATGGTGCGTGCCGGGGATTGGAGGAGGACACGGATGCGGAACACGACTACCAGTACGACCAGCGCGAACAGGCGAGGCAGGGCGAGACGCAGGCTCACGGCGTTCTGTAAGAGAGTCTGACTGCTCAGTGTAAGGAGAAGGAGCAGGTAGTGGGGAGTCTGGTTGTAGCTGTGGCTGCGACTTGTCAGGCGGTGGACACAGCAAGGAAGGAGTAAGGCCAGTAGAAGACGGGAGACTAAGAACCTGGCGAAGTGCCAAGCTAGGAGGCGGCAGAGACGACGACGACGGCGGAATGAAAAACAGGCGCCGCTGCAAAGTGCCTCCAGCACCAGTACCGACAACTCCAGCACCCCCAGCGCCAGCACCTCCAGCTCCAGGTTCTCTAGCTCCAGCACCTGCAGCACCACCAGCTCTAGCAGCTCCAGCACCTCCAGCAACTCTTGTACCGCTAGCACCTCCAGCACCAGCAGCACCACCAGCTTCAGCAGCTCCAGTACCTCCAGTATGAGCACCTCTGGGACCAGCACCTCCAGCACCAACAGCACCACCAGCTCTAACAGCTCCAATACCTCCAGCACCAGCATTACCACCAGCTCCGGCAGCTCCAGTGCCTCCAGCACAAGCACCTCCAGGACCAGCAGCTCCAGCACATCTAGTAGCTCCAGTAGCAGCAGCACCACCAGCTCCGGCAGCTCCAGTGCCTCCAGTACGAGCACCTCCGGGACAAGTAGCTCCAGCACCTCCAGCAGCAGCAGCACCACCACCAGCTCCAGTACCACCAGTTCGAGCACCTCCGGGACTAGCGGCTCCAGCACCTCCAGAAACTCCACTACCTCTAGCACCTCCAGCACTAGTAGCACCACCAGCTCCGGCAGCTCCAACGACACCAGCACGAGCACCCCCGGGACCAGCAGTGCCACTCCGAAGGCTACAGCGCCGAGCGTACCACTCGCGCAACTGCTGTGGTGAGAGAGGCTCCCGCCGGCTAGACCGCTGGGGCGAGGCACCAGTGGAACCTCCAGGACTAGTAACTCCAGCACCTCCAGTACCTCCAGTACCAGCACTACCTTCAGCACCTCAAGGATTAGCAGCTCCAGGGCCTCCAGCTCCAGCAGCGCCACTCCGAAGGCTACAGCGCCGAGCGTACCACTCGCGCAACTGCTGTGGTGAGAGAGGCTCCCATAGTGTAGACGCAGGACCCCTAGGCTCAGCACCCCCAGACTCAGCACCCCCAGGCTCCGCACACTCAGGCTCAGCACCCCCAGGCTCCGCACGCTCAGACGCAGCACCCACGGGCTCCGCACTCGCAGGCTCAGCACCCCCAGGCTCCGCACGCTCAGGCTCAGCACCCCCAGGCTCCGCATGCTCAGGCTCAGCACCTCCAGGCTCCGCAACCGCAAGCTTAGCACCCCCAGACGCAGCACCCCAACAGCACCAGAGTCACCAGTGACCTCAACAGGCTCAACCAAGGGGAGTGGGTCTACCTCAGACACACCTGAAGGAGCAGGACCCTGAGGGGGGAGGGGGTCTACTTGAGGGGGGACCTGGAGCGAGGAAGAGCGGCGGTGGGGGGAGAGGGGCAGTGCGGTAGGGGAAGAGACGGTAAAAGGGAACCGACTCGTCAAACGTGGCGTCCTGAGAGGGTAGGACACGGCGTGAGGTGGGATGGTAAAACTGCCAGCCAGGCGCGTCAGGGGGGAAGCCAAGGAAGATGCAGGGAGCGGCGCGCGAGGAGAGCTTGTCCGCGGAGGTATCGCGGACAAAGGCAAGACAGCCCCAGACCCGGAACACCGACGCATCGCCAACCTCTCCCGTCCAATGCAGTGTAGGCGAGGTCTCTAGCAAGGAGACACGGGGCCAGAGGTTGAGCTGATGCGCAGCATACCGGACAGCAAACGGCCACAGAAAATGGGGAGCAGCCGCATGGATCATGGAGGTACGAGCGACCTCCATGACTAAGCCAATGCGGCGCTCAGCAACCCCATTCTGCTGCGGAGAGGCCGGAAGCATGAACGACTGGAGGATGCCCTCCCCACGACAAAAGTCCCGCAAGAGGTTGGAGGAGAACTCACCACCTCTGTCAGAGTGCAGACGCAGGACAGGAAGGTTCGTGTCGAACCGCTCGCGGAGCTGGAGACAGACAGCGCGGATCCAAGGGATCAAAACATCAGGGACCTCCTCCTTGCTGCGCAAGGGGAAGACCGTGGTGTAACGCGAGTAGTCGTCAACAACCAGCAGAAAGTATCGCTCGCGGCCCTGTCCCTGGACGCGGGCTGGGCCCCACACGTCCATGTGGAGAGTCTGCAGGGGAGTAGTCATCGGGGGAAACGAGGAGGAGTGAGGAGCGGCGCGCTGCCGCCCCTCGACACAGGGAAGGCAGGGAGGGGCAGGCGAGGGTGGGAGGGGAGGCAGAGACCTGGGAAAACCAGAGACAAAGAGGCGAAAGTGCATGCCACAGAGGCGTGACAGAGAGGGGTGACCTAGACGGTGGTGCCAAAGGAGAGTCTGGTGCGACAGGAGGCGACACGAACAGGGGGCTGCTAGCTGACCTGACGCGGACGCAGGCGCAACTACCTGAGGAGGCGCAGTAGTTAGTGTGTACAGGCTCGACCCAGGCCGACGGGTGAACGTGGCCAGGTGACAGCCCGTCCATGCACACGTGCAGATTGCCACACGCTGTCCTCAAGGAGTAAAGGTATTAACCCATTCATCCTGAAGGACGTCATTGCTCACCAAGTTCGTAAAGAACGAGGGGAGGTGAAGGCCTGACAGTGAGCCAGACAGAGCCGCCGGACACGGGAGAACAGTGGAGGAACGTGCAAAAATCAGTCCACAGAGAGACTGCAACCGGTGCCTTGAGTGGTGTGACCGTGGTGCTGTCGCGAAAGAAGCAGCGGGAAGCACCTGAGTCAAGCGTGAAGGTGTGCAAGGCCTCAGCAGGCGCAGTACCAGAAAGAGCAGACTCACCAGCATCTAGAGCAGACTCACCAGCATCTAGAGCAGACGCACCAGCACCTAGAGCAGCAGCCTCTATACCAGGGTCTTGCGGCACACACAAGTAACAGTCACCCTGAGTACTAATAGTCAAAACATACATGGCAGTGAGGATAGCGTCATAGTCTAGTGCAAAGATATCCACACCCTGCCTAAGCAGCTCTAGCCAGCGGGGGAGCTCAGCCGCGTCGACAAACACCGCACGCCAGGTGTCGCTCAAACAGGAGAAGCAGCGGGACTGTGTGTGACAAGGTGTCGCGCAAGTCAGACCAGCCCGATCACCTGTGCGAATGACGTACGGGCAGGGATCACTACTTCGAGACGCCCCACGCTGAGCGTACCACTCACGAAGCTGCTGGGGCATAAGGGTCTCGTGCGGACGCCGCTGCAGTTGCATCTGGCTACTGCCAGAATCTCCCCTCTGAACAGCTCCACGACGACTGCCACTACGACCACCGCCACTACCCCAACTAGCATACAACTCACGAAGCTGGTGGGGCGTGAGGGTCTCGCGCCGCCGCCACCACTCCCACTGCTGCCACCACCGCCGCCACCACTCCCACCGCTACCACGAAGAGACGCCATAGCAGGCACGAGGGTAGGTCGGGGCGGCGCACGGAAGGGCGGGGCGGCGCGGCGGCGAGCGGCGCACGGGCAAGGGAGGGCAGCGCGGCAGCGAGCGGCGCGCGGGCAGGGTGGCAGCGCGGCGTCGAGCGGCGCACGGGCAGGGCAGGGCGCGCGGCGGCGAGCGGCACGCGGGCAGGGCGGCTCGGCAGCGAGCGACGCCTAGGCTAGGCAGGGCGCGCGGGCAGGGCTGCAGCGCGGCGGCGAGCGGCGCGCAGGCAGGGCAGGCGGCGCGGCGGCGAGCTGCGCGCGGGGAGGGCAGGGCGCGCGGCGGCAAGCTGTGCGCGGGCAGGGCAGGGCGCGTGGCGGCGAGCGGCGC